ACTTAGCATTGGAGTTGCCAGAGCTGTTCGGGGTCAGCGGCAGGTTCCCCCTCAAGCATGTCTTGGGAGATGTTGTCGAGCAGCACACGAGTCTGACGATTAAGCCGAAGATGCGCGGCACTAACCGTGTGTTCTTTAATTCGGACAGCACGATCCGTCCTCTCACCGCGCTCGAGACTGAACAGAAAGTGAGCAATCAGAAAACTACTTTAAACACGGTGGATGAATTAAAGCAGCAGTTGGACCTCTCCAACCTTCGTGTGATTGCAGCAGTTGGGCTGGAGGAGCTCATGCTAGTGACGCTCCCTATATTGGTGCTCACTGCCACTATGTTAGAGAAAAGTGGGCATCACGAGCGCGCGGTTGGGTTTGTTCATCTGATGGAAAACAGCGCTAATATGATGTATGGGATGAACTCACCTGAGCACGATTTTTTGGTCTCGTTGCGTAATTTATGCACTGTTAAGTTGTAGTGAAGTTCGATGATGCCGTTTGCCGTGGGGCTGGTTCACCATTCAATGCCTCTCTTACATTTTCAGTCTTTTACCTTTTATCATATGGATACATGTTAGATTGTTGCTAATGTCGTGTTCGTTAGGGTGGTTGGACACAGAATGTGTTACCATCAGATTGGTGTAGAAAGGGCTGCGCAGCTACTGACTGTGCGACTTTCCTTTTGTGAATATCACTTTTTCTGATGTGACCACATGCTGCATGCTCGAGGTCGCGAATACTCTTGTTTATTGCTTTAGCGACAGAGAAATGCTGAAATTCAAACCAATCATAACGCTTCGTCTCGATGAGATTTGATTCAAAACAGCCGAAAGGTTGTGTTACACTTCCATGTATTACACTGTAACAATGATTGAAGTGCTTACTTTAGTATTTTTTTAATATTTTCTGTGAACATATAAACCTTCCATTAGTGACTATACAATTTGCTTTATTTATATAATATTATATAATGGGAAGAGTCTTTTCGTTTTTTAAGTGTAGTTTAAATTTCAGATATTTATTTCTTCAAACAACATAATCTTTAAATTTAGATATGATTTGAATATAACCTTAGCCAGTTTCATTTCTCTGTAGGAAGGTGTGCAGGGCACTAAAATACCTGGCATCTGCTTCAGAGGTTTTGATGGAATTGTGCCTCACACAAGGTCTAATTAGCG